TTTTTAGGGAAGAAAAATAAAATGAAGAAAAATTTTTGAGGAAAATAAATGGGCAATATAGGAATACAAAAGTATGTTTAATCGGTTGCGTTTTACCATGGTTCAATGGCTCATTTTTTTCAATTCATCATGTTTGAATTGGGCATATGCATGTTCGATTTGAAGATGAAAAAATAAAAAAAAAGTTGGAAAATCTAAATTGAGAAGAAAAAAAGTGAAATTGATGAAAAATATACAACAAAGAGAGGATTTGGAATTGAGATAGAAGATTTAGGATTGAAAAAAAAAGAAAACTTTGAAGAAAAAAGATTTTGGGTAGTAGCATATCTTGACCTTTTTTTTAAAAAAAAAAATTGAGCATTTGAAACTTTTGACATTACATTTGCATCATTAGCTTGTCTTTCATTGTAAAGCATATGTGTATTGGTATGTTTGGAAAGGATATTTGCATTTCATGTGCATCATTTTAAGAAAAGACATTTGTATTTCATTTTAAGAGAAGAGATTTGCATTTGCATCCTCATTTTAAGAGAAGACATTTGCATCATTATGGTATTCACCAATTTTGAAAGCATTAAAAAGAAAAAAAAAGGGCAAAAACATATTCAAAAGATTAAAAAATTTTAAGAATTTCAATGAGATGGCATAAGATGAGATCTTTAAAACCAATCTAGTTGGCAAAAAAGTTGTTAACTGAGTGAAATTGGCAACATTCAAGAAAAATATTATGATAAATTATTCTCGGTGATGATATTCGAGTATTAAAGTATGAATTTCATTTTCTTGGTGGTGATATCCAAGTTTAAAGTTTGAATTTGCATATTTTCGAGGGTGATATTCATACATAAAAAAAAAAAATTCATTTACATTTTCTTGGTGGTGATATCCGAGTGTCAAGATCTGAATTATATTTTTTCAGTGGTGATAACCGAATGTCAAGGTTTGAATTGCATTTTTTCTCGATGGTGATATCTGAATGTCAAGATTTGAATTGTATTTTCTCGGTGGTGATATCTGAGTGTCAAGATCTGAATTACATCTTTTCGGTGGTGATATTCGAGTATCGAGGTTTGAATTTTATTTTCTCAGTGGTGATATCTGAATGTCAAGGTTTGAATTCATTTCTTCAAGGTGATATTGATATTAAAAGATTTATATTTTTTGATTATATTCGGTTTTTCTGTGGCGATATCTGAAGTATTGCTATTTCGGTATAATCGAGTGTTAAGGCTATAATTAATTATTCCGAATCATTTGTCAATTCTATAAAATATCGAGTGTTATAATTGAATTGCATTTTCTCGATGGTGATTACGAGTGTCAAATTTGAATTACATATTCTCGGTGGCGATATCGAAGCCATTTGCATATTCTCAGTGGTGATATTCGGAGTGTCAGGTTTGAATTGGCATTATTCTGGATTTGGCGATATCTAAAGTCATTTCTTTTCTCACTGGTGATATCCGAGTGTCAAAGTTTGAATCGTATTTTCTCGATTGAGGATATCCGAATCATTTACATTTTCTCGATGGTGATATCTTAAGTGGTCAAGGTTTGAATCGCATATTTTGGTGGTGATATCCGAAGTCATTTACTTTCTCGGTGCGTGATATCTGTAGTGTCAATGTTTGAATTGCATTTTCTCAGTGGCAATATCCGAAGTCATTTGCATATTCTCAGTGGTGATATCAGAGTGTTAAAGCTTGAATAACATTTTTTCAATGATGATATCTGAGTTTCTTTTGGTGATGGTATCCAAAGTCATTCACATATTCTTGGTGGTGATATTCGAGTGTTAAAAAATCATTTGAATTTTTTTCAGTGGTGATATCTGAAGTCATTAACATCTTTTCAGTGGTGATATCTAAGATTAAGTCCCCTTTTATGGTAATATTCGAAGTTATGTTTCAAGATAAAATTTTAAAGTTATTGAGCCCCTACTTAGAGGAGCTTTCCCAAGATGATAAATTTTAAACTTTTGAGCCTCTGGTTAGAAGAGCTTTTTCAAGATGAAAATTTTAAAGTTGTTGAGCTTCTGCTGAGAGGAGCTTTTTTAAGATAAATTTTTAAAGTTGTTGAGCCTCTGCTGAGAGGAGCTTTTTCAAGATAAATTTTTAAAGTTGTTAAGCCTCTACTGAGAAAAGTTTTTTCAAGATGAATTTTAAAGTTGTTGAGCCTCTGCTGAGAAGAACTTTTTTAAGATAAAATTTTAAAGTTATTGAGCCTCTGCTGAGAGGAGCTTTTCTAAGATAAATTTTAAAGTTGTTGAGCTTCTTTTTTTCAAGATAAATTTTTAAAGTTGTTGAGCCTCTGCTGAGAGGAGCTTTTTCAAGATGGATTTTTAAAATTGTTAAGTATCTGCTTATAGGAGCTTTTTTTAAAGATGAATTTTTAAAGTTTTTGAGCATTTACTTAGAAGAGTTTTTTCAAGATGAGTTTTTAAAGTTGTTGAGCTTCTGCTTAGATAAGCCTTTTCCAAGATGAATTTTAAAGTTGTTAAGCCTTTAATTGGAGGAGCTTTTTAAATTAAAAAAAGGTTTTATGCTTAATGTTTCTTTTTTTCGAATAAAATGGTTGTCTATTTGTCTTTGTCTTATTCTTGATTCTCAGAAATAGGCAAAGAGGGACAGCTGTAAACACCATTTTATTAGTATTATTTTATTTATTTATTATTCATTTCTTTCTTTTTCTTCTTTTTCTGGTAGTGGCTCTGACAGCCGCCTATAGTTGCATTGCCAGTAGTCCTGACAGCCACCGACAGTCATTTTAACAGCTGATGGCCACCCTAATCCTAGGCCACCAAAATCCCAGATTTTCTAAGATTTTGGTTCTTCTTTTCACTCTATAAATAGAGCAATGAATTCCGAAAATGAAAGAAAAGGGAGGAGACCTTGCAAAAAAAAAAGTTTCTAGAATAAAAAAAAATTTCTTTCTACCCAAAAAAAAACCAAAATAAAAAACACAATCATCCCTGTAGGGAGGAGGCCTCAGTGCCAAAAGCCACCTGCACCAAAGAAAAAAAAGATAGTTAGTGTGGGTTTTCAAAATTACAAGAAAAAATAGAGAGAACTAAAGAACTTTAAACCTTGATCTATGTCGATTGGGGTGGTTTCTCACAAAAGGAGACTGGATCTAGATGAGGAGGTCGAGTAGAATTTTTGAAGTTTTTCTTGATGTTTTTCGATCACCAACGACCATTGACAGTGATTGCTGGCGGTGGCTGACAGGGCAGTCTGGCATCAGATTCTGGGAAGGCTAGAAAGTGTTTTTTTTTTTTTGGAAGAAGGTTGAAATGAATTAAAAAAAAGTTGACTTTATATAAAAAGCCAAAGTCCAAAATGACACCGTTTTGGAGCATGAAGGATCCGCGCATGGACCAAGATTCGACCCGAGATCCGTGTAACCCGACTCGCTACCCGCTTCTACCTCAGCCCAAGACTGGTCCAGTTGAACTGGTATCGAACCGCTAATGAACTGGTTCAGACTGGTCAAAACTGTTGAACTACCACACCAAGTCATCAAACCGACCTAGACCTGTATTGACCAAACTGTTGACCTGTCCGGTCCAAGTAAAATTTTTTTTTGTTGAATTTTTTAAAAAAAGTTTTATTTTTGTTATTTTAAATTTTATTATTAATATTTAAGCATGTTAAAATATATTTAAATTCACTAGAATAAATTTTTGTTGTTTGATAATAATAATTAATAAAAATAAGTAATGAAACATATAGAAAAACTTTTGTGATAATTTTGTTATTTTTTAAAAATATTCTTTATAATAATAATAAAATAGTAAATAATGTAAGGAAAAGAAAATTTTTATCTGATGATGAGATTCAAAGGTACTCTGAGTAGCGATACCTACGAAATTTTTAGGTAAGATTTTTTTTTAAATACTACTAGTGTATTGGAGTATTTATAAAAAATTTTTTATACAATAAAAATTTTCTTTGTATAAAAACTAGTAAACAAAAATTAACTAATAAATTAAAAATAAGGTGATAAAAAAATGAGAAAAAGAAATTTTATCCAATGACAGGATTCTAAGAGTATTCTGAGTAGAGATGCTTTAAAAAATTCCTAGGTGAGAAGATTTTTTAAATATTACCAGTGTATTGAAATATTTATAAAAACTTCAATATAATAAAAATTCCTCTTTTCTTCAAAAATTCAAATAAATAATAATAACAATCAATAATAAAATATGTGCATGAACATATTAGCATTTTTGCATTGCATGCACAACATGATTTTTACAAAAAATAAATCTGAATCTTCGAGGATGAGATTTTAAGGTATTTCTGAGAAATGATGTCAATGAAATCTCTAGGTGAGAAAAGGTTTTTAATGTTACCAACGTATTGAAACATTTTAAGCATTATTTCGATAAAAATGTTTTAATTTATTTTTCTCAAATAAAATTTGAACACTAAATAACAAAAAATCAAATAACAAAAAAATTTCAACAAACAAAGAAAATCAAGAAAATTATTTTTCAAACACTGAAAATAAGATTGCTTTTATTTAAATCAATGGATAACATAGAGTTAAGTGGTACTATTTTTAAATGGGCGTTGTGAGGGTCTAATCTTTCCTCACGTGTAACCGACTCTTGAATCCAGACTGTTTTCGCAGACCATAAAATTATCTTTTTAATAAATTTTAATAATTTAAATCTTATTAAACGGATAAATTTTAATAGGTGGCAAATCGCACCTAGCCAAAAAAGATTGGTGGTGATTTCATATTTTTCTATTTTTTAAATTTGTCGGGCGGACACACAAAACCATTACGACATATTTGTGTGCTAGAAAGGCATTTTAAGGTGTGATATTGATAGAGTGTAATTGTCACACCATCTTGAAAGTTTTTTGTATGATATAAAGCTTTATTGACAACTCTCTGATGTGTTAAATGTGATCTTTGTTCTATAATTATCTATGTGCCTTTTTCTTCTCATTACAAGTTAATCTTTATTCTTTGATGTTTTCAATGATTAGCCCATTTTAGGGATTCTGCAGGGTTGCTGCATTTGAGATGGAATACGGACATTGGATGGAAGAACAAAACAGACAAATATGTGAACTCAGGACCGCTTTGAATGCCCATATAAGCGATATAGAGCTTGGCATACTTGTGGAAAGTGGCCTGGGCCACTATTCTGAACTTTTCCGCCTGAAATCAACTGCTGCAAAGGCTGATGTTTTCTATGTGATGTCTGGCATGTGGAAAACATCAGGCGAGCAATTTTTCTCATGGATTGGAGGGTTTCGCCCTTCAGAACTTCTTAAGGTGATGCATACTTTAGTTTAATTAACTGTAGATCATGCATTCCTTTTTTCATATAGGTCTTTTGAGGGAAGAACCTATAGCAGAGGATCTAACTGCAAATTCTTTCTGCACGGTGGCACTGATGAAATTTAAATGAATGACTATATTATTTTGATTTTTGACTTATTTATATGTGGATGTATGTGCAAATAATGTCTATAGATAATAATGTCAAACTTTTGGATTTTTTTTTTTGCTTAATAAAAAACGGTTTCAAGTTTTTTTATTATTATTTTTGAATCTCAAAAGTTGTGGAAACAATGCTTACTAAACTAATATATTCTCTCTGTTTATCTTGCTTTTTCTTCAGTCAATAGGTCTATCTTGACTTGATCAATATAGAGCCCTTTCTCTCTCCTCAATTGTTCATATCATTTTTGGTTAGAGAATTGCAACTATATCTATTCCTTGCAATGCGTTTAACATTTGCTGTTATATTGACTCATCAAGGGGTTATTATGTTCTTCTGAATGCTTTTCTGTTGATCCAGACAGATCTCTTTTAGTTATTAACATGTTCATCCTGCAATCAATATTTTAGTTATCCTAAAAGAGACTGCTAAGTCCATACTAGAAACCCCCTCCCCTCCCCTTGGTGCATATACAAACAATAAACAGTTATGTACAATGATTTTCTATGACAATCTTTTGTAATTACTCCCTTTTAGGGTTTTGCAGTGTTATTTATCACCAACAAAATATTAGTTTCCTGGCACAAACACTGACTTGGCCAATTGTAACTCTAATATTGCTTCTGTTTGGTCTTTCTTTGCTCGTGATTACAGCATCATTGGGCACATTGATTAATCAATGCTTCTTTAACGAAGTAACTCTGTCCTTTAATCAATGCTTCTTTAGCAAAGTAACTCTGTACTTCCATGTTACTTGAAAGACATAATTTCTTGTATTTTTCATTGGAATTCTTGTCCAAGTTCTATTGCTAAATGTAGAATAATATTTGCTTATTATGTTGATTGCAGGTGCTTGTGACTCAGCTTGACTCCTTGACAGAACATCAATTCTTGGAAGTTTGTAACCTGAAACAATCATGTCAGCAGGCAGAAGACGCGCTTTCGCAAGGTATGGAGAAACTCCAGGAAACTGTGTCTGCAACTGTAGCAGCTGGTCAACTGGGCGAAGGTATTTACATTCCTCAGGTGGCTACTGCAATGGAAAAGTTAGAAGCTCTAGTCAGCTTTGTGAACCAGGTAATAATTGCATCATCCCATGGTGACTCACAAGGGTTTATCAGCAAGAACATTTCACAGATAGTTTTTTCTCTGCGTTTGCTCTCCTTTTCATAGTCCTTATAGTGTACCCATCAATTGGTTCTCCATCCATTCGTTTGAAGTGAAATTATAATAGCTAACTCAAGGGTTTTTAATCGTACTTGTTTCTTTTGCATTTCAAAATGATGTCTAACAATATATGCTGCACCCGCTATGACGAGTATCTTATTTCGGAAAACCTAGGGATTCCCAGACCTATGGGTCCCAAACTGTGCTGGTCTTGGTCAATGGATTTATTGTTGTGAACTAGGTTGGTGACAACCATTTCAGTTCAATTAGAGAAGGTAGTCGGAGTCACAAAGTATGTGCACAACATGGTCCTATTTTCTAAAACTGAGTTTAGAAGAATTTATTACTTTAAAATCTACATAATAAATTTTATTAATGTTTTGATAACCAAAAAAAAAAAGGCATCTGCGTGATGTTTTCAAGTTTCAACTAATGTCTGATATTTTTCTATATGCAGGCGGACCACCTTCAGCAGGAAACACTGAATCAGATGTCTCGCATCCTAACAACTCGCCAGGCAGCTCGAGGCTTACTTGCTTTGGGAGAATACTTCCAACGTCTTCGGGCTCTAAGTACACTATGGGCTACCCGTCCTCGTGAGCCTGCCTAGCCTTGGAAGATCATACATGAATGATGGTAGATGATCACTGCAAGAACAGTGTTCCTGCATACAGAACAAAGTTGCCTTTTGGTAGATGTCATTATAAACATAATTAGCATCAATTATGCTGCCGATATTTTTTGAAGCAGCTTTTGGAAACCTGAGATCTGAGATGTTGTACATGTAAGTAGTTATTTTACCTAGGGGAAGGTTGTGATTAAATCAATTTTCTATGATGTGTTGTGCATTATATATACTCTTGAAAGGAGATACATATATAGGTTCTACATTTGAGTTTACATACCAGTTGAAACTTCCATGTAAATTCTGTTAGTGTTCCTTTATGTATCTTGAACATGGCCAATATATATTTGTGAAAAGTTGCTCATTTATGGAACATTCAGAGTATCTTATCAAAGCTTCACTTGGTATTAATCCTTGGGTTCATAAAACACTGCTTCCAAACTGAAAAGCAAAAATTTTTGTTTTCATCATAGCGCTTGCTTGCAGGTTCATGGCCAAGGATTCTCTCCGGCAGCCCCCCAGCTTTAGTGCCTTGTATAGACGGCATTGCCAGCTTGTTGAAGATTGACACAGATCATTTGGAACCTTGCCATGACTCTCAGAAGTTAATTTGTTTGATCACCAAAAGAATCAGAAAAGCTCTTTTTCTAAGTATTTTTCCTTTATCAGATTGCTTTCGTTAAAGCTGCAATTTGGTGTATCCTTTGTAATTTTAATCAGTCGTGACTTATAAAATTCATAAGCAATTCATTCATTGGTTAGTTGCTATTTTTATAGAAAAACATTGGATGTTGATTTATTGCTAACTTTGTTGTCTGCAAAAAGTGTAAAGTTTACGAGTAAATTGACAATAGCTCTTTTATAATTATCTTCTCCTTCAAGTTAATAAAAAATTTGATGTTTTCAAATGGATCAAATTTAATCTCCTAGTTTGTTTTTTCAATCAAAGAGACGTTAAAACTAAATCGAAAATTTTTATTTTTATTACGGAGCCCAATGGTCTGAAATCTAAACAATTCAATTTTCTTTTTCACAATGATCATGTTTGTACCAGTTTGAACATTTCAAAACAGGGGACTGTAATTGCAAAGTGGGTGGATTTTAGTATTGAAATTGTTCAATTCTTCAAGTTTCCAATCAAAATCAAAATCATTTGAAAGTTTTGTGTAGTTTTTTATTTTAATTTTAATTTATCTTCTATTTCCAATCCTTATCCATTTAGTCTATGTTTAATACATAAAATGATGGATATGATAAAATGATAATAATCTTATATTATATTTGATTTGTAGTTAAAAAAGATGATAAAAATTAAAAAAAAAATTAATTATCTTCTTGGTATAGGATGATTCAATCTTTTCAAAATAAAAAAGATTATTTTTAATTTATAAGATTAAACTTATATGTTCTGTTATACTATTAAAAGTTATATTAATAATTTAAATTATATAAATTTAAAAAAAGATAATTTTGACTAATAAATAAATTTTTCTATCTTAATCTTTACACACATCAAATATAAAACAAGATAAAATTATTTAATCTAATTTTATTCATAATATCATTATTCTATCATATTATAATCTTATATATCAAATATATCCTTAATTTATATGAGAAGATATATAAATATAAATCCTTTGGAATCTGTAACCAGCATGCCACGCCATATAAATTAATAACCAATTGACAAATTTTATATGGTTAAATACTTAATTAAAAATTTAATGTTTTGATATTTTTTTTTATTAAGATTATAATTTTTATTTTGATTCAATCAAGAGTCAATCGTTTATAAATTTGCTCAACATAAAACTTTTTAATGGCGATAAATTTCACAAGCCGTTAAATCCTATAATAGTTATATTTAGCCGTTAAAATGCTATCTTCTCTTTCTTTCTCTCACTAACAACGCCACCCAAAAATAATACCCTATATTTTTTCTTCCCAAACTTCTCTCTGTAAACAAAAATAAAAATTAGAATTTCAAAAGGCATAGCAAGAGTGCGGTGGTGGAACTGGGGTGGTGCGGGACACTCAGAGCGAATGGAGATAAATTTTGGTTTTTTGAGTTTGTTATTTTTTTGGATTTAGATTTGTTTTGTAAAGATTGATTATTAATGTACTATAATTTCATTCTGGATTTGGAGTTTTTTTTTTATTTTAAAATTTTATTGAATTTTTCAGTGTTGGGATGTTGAGAAAGTATGCAAAGAAAATGATAGAATTTGTGAGTTAATTTTTTTCTTTTAATCACCTTTTATAATTTTAATTGAAAAATATAATTTTATCCTTTTTCATCATCCCACTTTATTAAAATGCAGGTATAAGTCACTGTAGTTAGGGAGTGTTATATTAAGGAAATTTGTAAATATTTAATCCTTAATTGAATTAATGATAAAGTTTGTGAACTAATATTTTTCTTTTAATCATTTTTTTATTTTTATTTTAGTTGAAAATATAATTTTATCAATTTTTATCATCCCACCCTATTAAAATGTGGGTATAAGTCACTCCAATTGCGAAGTTCTATATTGAACAAATTCGTAAACATTTAATTTTTAATTGAATAAAAATAAAGATGATAATTTTAATTAAAAAACCTATAAATATTAAATCCAAAATTAATAATTTATTTTTAGTTGTAATCATCAAGAGTAGAGACCAAAATTGTTAATATTGTACCAAAAAAAACGTTTTGATTTTCTTTAAAAATATAGTATATATTGGTACTAGTTGTTTCAACATATTATTTAAAATTTTTGATTTAATACAAATATATTTATAAATGTACATGAATTTATATATTATAATACTATTAATAATTTACAAAACAAATATGCAATATTTTCAAAAATTAAATAAATAAGTTTAAAAGTATTAAAAATATCTTAAATTTTTTATAATATTTTTAAGCACTTAATTTAATCATATGATAGTTAAATAAATATTTTTTATATAAATATTAAGATAAAAACAAAGGGATTAAAAATTAACCGTGACTTTATAATTGTTAAACTTTAAAAAGAAAATATAATTGCTAACTTGAAAGAAATTGAAATTCTTATAAACTTTGATAAAAAAAATAAAATATATACAAAAATTTACAATAAAAAATAAAAAACTCAACTTTTAATGGTTATTTTATCAATTAATTTTATTTTTATTAAGTTAAAAATAATCAAACAATAAAAAATAAATTAAAAATTACAAAATATATTTCAATTTTACATATAAATCGAAATAAATTAATTCATTAAAATTCATTAGAATTAGTCAAAATCAATGAAAATAACTGATATTACTAGGTACTAAATTCAATATAAAAAATTATTTTTAAATATATTATATTTTAATATAAATAAAGTATACTAATCGGTACAGCCGATGCGAAAATAAAATTAACATCTATAATAAGCATATCGTCGACGTGATAGAATTGAGATTCTCTCTCCTCTTAATATACATTTTCCAAACCAACATCAGAGGACCTTTTGCCATCATCACTTGTTAGGAAGTCAAAATTACTTAGTTTTTTAAAAAAAAAATTCATTTGCAATTCTTTCGCTATACTTTCGTAAATAATCGGTCACAATAAAAAATTTATATAAAAATTTAATTAATCAATCACAATAAAAATTTATATAAGAATTCACATTATTTTCACTATAATTTTGTAATTAATCAGAGTCAAATTCTGTCATCAATCTTTATAATTTGATAAAATTTGAGATCTAATACATTTACTGTAACATAAAATGTGATTCTTTTACTAAATTGGTATGATAATTCTAGTCTAATAATTAATTTTGTTAAAATTTTTTCATCAGATTTGTTAAAATGTTAGTTAATTTATTGACGTGTTTTTTGATTTTGCTGATATAACTTTTGATTTGTTAATGTGACATTTTGATTGATTGTTAATAAAATTTATGATGATGTGGATTTGTTGAAATGTCACGTGGTATATAAATAAATTTAAGTGAATTTTTTTCAAAATTTTTTTAAATATATTATAATTAAAAAATTAATTGCTTAAAAAATATAGTAAAAAATTAAAAACTCAAATGAACCTCAAAACTCCAAAAGCAATTCACCGCTAATATCTCACCGAACCTCAACTACCTAGTAAAATTTCAAGGCTATATTCTTCATAATTTGGATTAAAAAGACATGTTCCTTTTGTTGAAAAGATGGAAAAGGAAACGATCTTTGAGGACTAAAAGATGAAATCGAAACACATATCTCATACCTCTTACAACATTGAAAGCAGCTTTTTTTTTTTTTCTCTGTAACTCATGATGTTAGGGAATAAAGGGATTGCTTCCTTGAAGAGCTAGCTCCATTCTCATCATTCCTTTGTTTCGTCTTATGGCTTTGCTTTTGCTTTGATGCATCAAATGCTTTGTTCCGAGGTTGCAAAACTCATTCAAAAGCTCATTCAATTAGTACTTAGAACTCATGAGTGGAAACTGCCCTTGAAGATGTAGATTTGCAGCTTTTCCCATAATTCCGTCTTGGATCATTTGTTGTTGCTGTTCAACATTTGCAGGCTTTCCAAAGAAACCATCTTTAGAACTTAAGCGATGAATCCCATATCATCTTGCTGATCATGATTACTGTGACTGGCTAGGATCTTGGGAAAGCTAAGATTTGAAGTTCGGGTTCAAGGGGTTTTAGGATATATTTTTCAAATCTCAACTGAGAAAACTTAAGGGAGAGTGAGAGGAAGGCCGGAGAAAGTTTGGCGGCTATCAGAGGTGACGGTAACGATGGATTTAGGCTTTTAAGATTTGATTTCTTTTGGTTTTTTTGGAAGAAGAGAGATTTTTGAAAAAAATTTAAGCTGATAGATATGCAGAGGAGATTAAGAGCAGCTTTCGGGTAAATTTTAGTGACATTCCAACGCAGGTGAACGATGATTGATGACAGTCGGTGTGACAACCGATCGCCGAAGTATGGGTTTGTATGGTTGTATGCTTGAATGAATTTTGGATTTGGCGGCTTGAATTCTGGTTTTTTTTTTTCAATTATTAGTTTAAAAAATTAACATTAATTATTAAGAATTTTTTTCTTAAAAAAAATTTTAAAACTGTAAAGATGATGTGAATTAAAAATCATGCCTTGTCATTTAATTCACGATAGTATCCTTTAAATCTCATTCAATTAAAATATTATGTCATTTTAGCTAATGAACACAACAGTTGGTCAAATATTATGTTAGCATATTTAATAAAAAAATTCGATAAAATTAATGATTAAATTATAATTATTAAA